CTTATTACATACTGATCATTCTACCTACGTATAATCTATGATGACAAAAACCGCGCATGCGCGACTCTACTATTTACCGCGCATGCGCGAAGACATAGAGTAGCGCACATTTTTTGTTTGGAATAGCTTCTCTAGTACGTAGTACATTAATTATAACTCAATGACACTAATGGCGGATTGATGTCGTTTTGATTTGACGTTAGCTGTCATCTCTGAAATATACTCATATCATCTATAGCATATCAGGTAGATTTATTATGTAAAATAGCTGAAATGTCTCGAAACTAGTAGGAAAGTATGCTCTACTTTCTAAAAAGTTGTATTTTTTGATCAAAATACGAATAAAGTGTGTTATAGATTGTGTATGTGCTTTTTTGGTCTTAAAACAACTAACGTTCTTGTTGATATTTGCATATCATAAATGCAGTTCAGGAGAAAACAAATGTAAAAAGTACTACCTAATCCCAGAGAAGAAGATTTTTTGAGATAAATCAACGGTGCCTACGCACAAAATTATTTCATTGCATTCATTAGTGTGTACTAATGCACACTTCAGCGTCAGGGGCATCCAGGACTTTTTTGTTTTACATGGGGAATAGAGGCCTAGGTGTTTTGTTGGTTTTTACAAAAGTTTAGTGCGAGATAGCTCAAAGCCGACATTATATATGAATAGCGGGTAACTCCCGTTTCTCTACCCTAAAAAATCCACCCTGTGATACTACTTTATTGCACTAATAGTAAAGAAAGTATTTAACTTATTTTACCTTACAGTGGCTGTTTTAAGGTGGATAAACAAAATAATCCTGAATACTAATTTCTGTTCAGGTATACATATACCCAGCCCAGATAAAATGTGTTTATATGCAGCCCAGATAAACACATTTTATCTGGGCTGCTAAAGTGCTAGGGTACAATCATAGATAATATAATTTATTTGTTATAATATGGTACATTACAGTTGTTACAAAAGAATTCGCATCTCAAATATTCTGCCGTTTCCGGCGTACAAATATTTTCATATAACAGGTCCTCAGCGTGTCAGAGTATGCCTTGAACCTTGACAGACATTTAAAGTCTGGATAATGTCATAACAAAGGTTAACAGTCCTATGAATTAGAAAGTGAAACATTAGGTCAATCATGTTTTGAATACTTAAGGTAATATAAATAAAACAGCTTAATTTTTCTATTTTTTATTTATTTATCCTACTTCAAAATCCTGTCTTACTAAAATGCCATCCAGAATTGAGGCCGGTGCGGTTATGGAATTTTGATACCGAGTCCAACACAAATACCAGACAACGGTCATTATGTGGGTACAGCAACCCACTGTCTGTTGTCCAGAAGTGCAACTGCAATAATAACCTGCAATCATCTCATCCCAACTTGTCCCTTCTCTCGCCAACAGTATATATGTATAATAAGCTCTGCCCGAGTGATGACGAGATTTTATACGGCCTCTTATTAAAACAGAGTCTTGTTGGGGTGATAGTAATTGGGTCACAACTTATCTGCTACCCAGTCTTCGTTGACACCAAACATACAATATATGTATAGTATTGGCTTAGGGCGCTGGAGCTCATTTTCAAGATGTGTACCGACAGATAATTCTTGTAATACGTTTGAAAAACATTGTGAACATATTTGTGCATATTCATCCATCTAGAACAAAACAATCTTATTTTAATAAACTATCTATATTGCAGAAGCGCATTTTAAACAGTTCAACATGTTTTAACAGGTGTACCGAAAGATAATTACATCATATTACGATTTTGCAGCCATTATGAACTTATGTAGAAATCAATAATTATTAACAGACTACAGATAGAAGCATGTCATTCAAATGCGTTTAATACCTTAAGAAAACATCTTTCTTTAGTACATACCTGCTTACTTATTCAAAATGTGTTTCTACAGAAAACACATTTTGACACACTGATCCAAAGTCCAAACAAAAAAACCAAATCGCCAAAGAAATCCACAATTACACGCATTCACGCGTTCAGAATTACACAACCAAGCTCAGAATAAATAAAAATATAAATTGACATGACATTTGACAAATAACCGTGTCTTATTTACTTTTTTATGACTGGAAGGGCACCATCTTGTAAAACCATCAAAAACTTGGGATTGCATTTTTATTTACATTTTATTAGCAAGTTATTTAGTTTGATTTATTCTCTCATTTTATTTTTAACATAATCCCTGAATTTTTCTCTTTTTTACGGTATACTGTACATAGACTGGGCCAGAAATGGACCGTCTGCTTTGAAAGAGTTATATTATTAGGAATGACAATGCATTCATTGACGTTGAATGATACTCGTATATAACTTACAAATGTGTCGGTACTATACGCGCGCCACCTACTGTAAGTTAATTGTACTATGTCCATAACTACCCATACGTATTCCAACCAAAATATAGCTGACTTGGCTCTACCAAGTATAAAAGTGTCAAAAATAAACACGGATTGTTAGAAATTTGGAGTTTTATGAAAACCTTAGTTAACACTTTCATTCGAAGTCAGTTGACAATATGCTCCCGCTATGGGCTTGTACCCTCGAGCGCAATTAAAAAAACCGCTCTGATCCGTCCGATTACAGGCCTATCGCTATCACCTCTTTGTTCTCGAAAATAATGGAGTCCATCATTAACTGCCAGCTCATGCGGTATCTTGACAAGCTGATTAGTGATCGCTAGTACAGTTTCTGTCGAGGTTACTCAGCTGGTGATCTTCTCGTTTACCTAACACACCGATGGGCATAGGCGGTCGAATCCAAGAAGGAGGATTAACGGTTACTTTGGACGTTGCGAAGGCCTTCGATTGGATATGGCACAAAACGCTTCTTTCGAAGCTTCCATCTTATGGGCTTCCCGAGAAATTGTGCAATTGGATCACCAGCTTTCTTGCAGTTCGGAGCATCAAGGTCGTAGTAGACTGCGTATGCTCCAATTACAAGCCTATTAATGCTGGTATTCCACAAGGTTGCGTGCTATCACCGACGCTGTTTCTTCTGCATATCATTGATATGATATGTTGCAAGCCGGTAACATTCATTGCGACGCGGATGAGAGTATTGGTGATATTTTATGCACCGGCCGAACCAATATTTCTCGGGAAAATGTCGCCGAGTATCGGAACAAACTTGTGTCTGAAGTCGAGTCGTTGCTGAACAAAGTCTCAGATTTGGGTCGACTAAATCTAGTCCAGTTCAATCGCCAGAAGACAGGAGTTTTTGCGTTTACCGCTAAAAAGAACCCCTTTGTCGTATCCTCTCAGTTACAAGGCATTCTTCTTGCTGCCTCGGCTAGCATCGTAATCCTTGCCGTCGACATATCGAATAGTGTGCTGTTTCGTGGTCACTTGGATGGGAAGGCCAAATTAGCCTCTAAAAAGCTTGGCGTGCTCAGCAGAGCGAGACAGTATTTCATGCCGCATATCGCTAACCATACGCACGGCACCATTCCCGCAACCGTAAGAAACAGCACCGGCACCAACTATGGGCAGGGTACCTTCCAGACCTACGGTGCCTAAAAAGTGCAGTTCACCGCCGACAGTCAACATGCCCTCAATATCGTTATCAGAAGCTACGGATACTTCAACAGGGGGAATAGGTTACGCACTAGATACAGCTGGTCTGGTCCAGCCCAAGGCTTCACCAGCGTAACCATCGGGCCAAGCAGAATTAAACGCTTTACCCCATCATGCGGCTGATATGACCTGAAAATTATACTACAATATTGTATTTTATGATTAATAATATAAATACGTGACATGAAGGCAACTGAAATTGTCTTTATTTTTGTTTTCAAACGTTATAAAAAGTTTAGTTAACTGCAGAACAAGCATTTCATACCTGGATTAAAAGTGCATGGGCCCAAAATAGAAAAACTAATTCAGGCAACATTTTGATTTATAAATTATACAAGATTTAACCTGAATATGGAAGTCGCGGTCGGTAGATTACTTTTTATAGATATGTAACACGTATATGTACAGAGAATGTAGTATTGATCAGTGATTGATAGTCGTACTGTTTATTGAGAAATTATTCATGTCATACGAGTATTTCTTATAACATTTTGTTAACAAAGTCAAACATTTACAAAACTTTCAAATCTATACAAATAAATAAAATTGAGGTGTCTGTTTGTAATGTCACATACAAACAGACACCTTACTGTTTGTAATGTCAAAATAACAGCTTTTTACTAAATGCATATGACAGTATATATGGTACTTTAACAAAAACACAATTTTTAAATTTTTTGTCTGTCTGTTTGTTCCGGCTAATCACCTGGTTTATCAGTTTCTCTTCCACGGAATCGGTGAAACTCATTTTTTGTGAAAAATTCAACGTGACGCTCGGCTGTTGGCGGCACTACTGATCTGCGGTCAGGCGACATGTCGTCTGCCGCTCCGGCAAACGACCTGTCGCTAGAAGCTACGGAAGGTATTTCATAGAACTACATAGAAACCAGTAGTGTCGCGACGACACGTCGACTGCTGCTGCTGTCTGCGGTCGGCTACGGAATGGTACCTTTAGGTTACTTATATTTTTGAAAAAGAATTAGGGTTGCGCGCAACATAATTAAACCCCTAAATTACACGCAAGCGAAGTCGCGGGGAACAGCTAGTTAATAATATACCACCGTTCTTTACATTTCATTCATTAAAATTAATAGGAGTGATGTTATGATGGATGTGATGCGACGAACCCGTCCTTTTGTAATATGGAATAAGCACTTTAATTATTACATTTCAAGTCGAATGGTCAGATAAGCACCTTGTTTCGAGTAATCAGTCGTACGGTAATCGGGTTCCTTACGGGTAAGTAAAAATTATGTAAATGTAACGAAACTATTTGTTTCGTGCCTCACGTACGCGTTGTTTATTTTATGAAATTTTAATAATTGTATGTTGTTATAAAAGCAATAGCCAAATCCAAACAATGCATTCGGTGTTTGACTTTTCAAAACGCTCCACATACAATGTCTCCTCTTACCTTTTTCCTGCTCTGTGCACAAGTGTGTTTTATTCAGGTAATAAAATTTAGACTTTTTACCTGCAAAATTACTGTTTTTCGTGTAAATTGTTGGCTTTGAAGTGTTGGTTATAACAGTCGAGGTATTTTAATAGTAAATATTTTAAAGATCCAGGTTTGCATTCCAAAGATATTGTAAAGGTTCAATCTAATAACACGCTTTGTTTTGTTTTTTTTTTAGAATGCCTACTGCCAGTGTTTGGGCACAGGACTCGGTTTGGGTTATGCTCCGGCAATTGTCGCTGAAAATGAGCTCGGTTGCGGAGCCTCCCTTGCGGCGGATATAGCTTACGGTCCTGGCTTTGCTCCTGGCCTCGGATACGGATATGGATACGGTCTCGCTGGTCCAGCTGCTCTGACAGGTCCCGCTGCGTATGGAGCAGGCCCGGCTTATGGCGGCGCTGGTATAGGAGACGTAACGGTCGCTGGCGAGATGCCAGTCGGCGGTACTACTCTTGTCGCTGGTCAGGTGCCCATCCTTGGTGCCGTGCAGTTCAGGGGTGAAGTCCCTGCTGGTGGTGTCATATCCATCACCGGTCAATGTGGCTGTGGTTGCGGTTGCAACGGACCCTATGCGTACTAATAGAATATCATCACAACATGATAATTTTAGAAGTTAGCATCTTAAATTATTATGTATATTTCTGTTAATAAAAGTTCAAATGCTCATAATTCAATGTTTTATAATTTCATTTTTCTCACCAGATGAAAATTAAAGTTTATTTTAAATAAATATTTTACAGAATTTATGTTGAATAACAATCTAATAATAGGTCCTAACTACGACTACAAGTTTGGCGTGTTGGCGGACTTCACATGTTCTAGATTTCTTATAATATTTTAGATATCCATGGTTTTCTCACTGTAACTGTGCTATATTATTATTAATAATTAATTTATAATAATTAAATCCACTATAAAGTAATTTTGAAATATCATAGATATAATATTTTGAACATTTTAAATGCGATCCCGCGGGAAATTTTATCGTCGTAGTGGCCCTCATTACCTACTTTGAAATTTAATACTGTTTAGGCCCCAAAATGGTCATTTGAGACGGCATCCAATCGCCTTCGACTTAGCGAATCGCCTGATGGTGTTAGGTGTCACGCGCGTCTCGGGTAGGGGGCATCGGTATGCAGCTTCGCAGCGTTTGGCGCTCGTGGGCGAAAACAGTAGCTTGAGAGCAGCGGTGCGGTCAATTAGCGTATTTTGGTTACCGCTGCATATTTTTCGCGCGACCAGTTTTTTGGATTTATGGTCTAGATTTTTAGTATTTGTGCGCGTTACTTCGCTACTGAATTGTGTTTTCGTGAAGACCGCCTCGGTTTAGTTTTGTCTAAATTGTACGTTCGCGACAAGAGGCTTATTTTGAATTTGAGTGATTAGAGTAATTTCGTTGCAATTGTACCGTCGCGTTAAGAGCCTATGTATGTTGACTTTTTAGTTACTTGCGTGTCAGCTAGGTTGATTTTGAATTCTTATTGCGGCGTAGTATTTAATATAGTACGAAGGAATTTAGTGTTGGTTGTAACGCTGAACTTTGTGACTCATGAAGAGATCGCGTTAGTTCCCTATTTGTAATTTGGGGATAAATAAATCCGGAACTAACTTCGCACCAAGGCTTGGGCAGGCCGTGAGTGTGTGTAATAGTGGATGGCGAGTAGTGTACAGTGAGGTGTGAATGTGTGGGGCCTTGTCAAGCATAGGCGACCAACTGCGGCCGAGTTCCAGGCTGCTCCAAAATGCTGCACCTCTTCAGACTGCTTCGGCGCCGGACCACAGTCACTTTCCTCGTTCGTCACGATGACAGTCAATTAACTCTATCATACGATTTACTAACTTACAGAAGCCACTAACTATCGCTGATTATAGGGTTAACGCACAAAACGCACACGGAGTTTACGGATCAAAGGTCACTACCGTTTCGCGTCGCGACAGTTAGTTCTAGAATATCAGTCCGCACTAGCTAATATTCCCGAATGCACTTATGCAGATTCTGAGTCAGACACAATGAGTCCCTGGGAAGCTCTCCAGCAGGAATGCGCGTCACAAAATCCTAGACCGTATATTTACGGGCCGCACCTAATTATTCCGAGTTCCCTAACAAAATTGACAGCGTGCAGACATTAGCACAGCTAGCAGACGACTCTGCCTTTTCGCTCGCGACCCGCGCGCCATTCCATGCTCGGCCGAATTTCAACCGGTATCGCGCCGAGCCTAGTGCCATCTGGCGTCGATTCTTGACAGCGTTTGGCGCGAACACTGACTATTGACCAAATCTGTATCGTTTTTTAAAATGTTCACTTGGTAAATCAAAAGGATCGGAGACCCCTTTATAAATTTTTGGTAAATGATATCGAGAAGGCGGTAAAATATCATCATCGTACTCAATTTCGTCGTAGTAATTGATTTGTCTTAAAGTATTTTCCTCCATGTCAAGAATCACGATCACAAGTCATAGACTGTCCGCACTCAGATTTTAGCTTCTCAATTACACACACTTGAGAGGCGAGTTTCGTTTATTAATCAGTGCGTCTCTCAGCTGATATCGTATACCTAAGCCCCATCTTGAGATATGTTCATTAATAAGATCATACCTTAAGAATATACTCAAATGCGAGTACTTGAGTTGAATAACGTTTATTAATACGGGCCTTAGAATATTAAGTATTATAGCATAGTAAAGGTTTAATATTGTAAAATTGTCTAAAACTCTGCTTAAAATATTCAAAATGTATCCATCATTCATCGTTACAGCCCTCCACAAGTTCACTGCTGAACAAAGGCCTCCCCCAAGGAATACCATAAAGCACGGTCCCGAGCCACCTGTATCTATTGACTTCCTTCATGTCTTACCAGGTCGTCACTCCATCTAGTGCCCTACAGTTCACCTACCGGTACGAGGCTGCCACTCGAGAGCCTTTTTTCCCCATCGGTTGTCGGTTTTTCGAGCTATATGGCCGGTGTTGGCGCACGTCATCGCGCCTCGGCCAAAAGTGGAGGACACGGTGGGGCACGGAACGGTCGCTGACCCTGCGAGAGCGCAGGCGCTTCCGTCACACTCTCAGCTACGAGACGCAATAGCAGACGGGCACTTCATTATTCAATTTATAGTAATATGTTTGTTTTAGAGGTTTTACGGCAGTTTTCTACGTGGTAGAGCCATGCTGCAGCTATATTATGGTTGTAGCACGAATGGGTCGGCTCGAACGGGGAAGGACCACGCTCTCACAGAAAACCAACGTAAAATAGCAGCTTAACGCTGCTGTGTTTCGTATGGTGAGAGTAGAGAACCGGAGATCCTTTTTACTGGCAAAGAGGCATTCCATCTTAGTCCTCACGGGTAACAACGCATCTGCATCGTGAGTATTTATTGATGATAGATGTAGATGTCTATGGGTCACAGTAACCACTTACCATCAGGTGGACTGTGTGCTCGTTTGTCACCCGATCCTATAAAAAAAAAGTAAACCTATTGTTAATACAGTCCACTTATTTTATTTCCAAAGTCCCGATGAGGCCTAAACAGCCGGCCCATTGCCACTTCAGCTTACCAATCCGTTGAGCTATGTCGGTTACTCTGATTCTACAGCGGATATCCTCGTTTTTAAGTCTATCACGCAGAGAAACCCCGAGCATATCCTTCTCCATAGCTCGCTTAGTGACTTTGAGCGTCCTCATACGACCAGCAGTGAAAAACCACGTCTAAGATCTTGATCTTGACTGATTTATTCAATCATTTATCATTTTGCTGTTATAACTCTATCTTACATTACTTTTGAAACGATGTTACGACGTCGTTAAAACATGAACAACAAAGAAAAGTGACGCATAACGACGTAACTTGTCGTAACTTGATGGCAAAATAATTTTCTACCATACATAATATCGTAACTCGTCGTAACTTGAAGTCATGACATTTTAATCCCCACGCATAAAGTTGTATCTAATTTTATTATTTCTCAAAAACATAAACATTTTTCTGTTAATGTAGCATACCATGTAATAATGTTAAAATACTTCTAATTATACTCCAGGTTTTAAGTCAAACAAAATTCGCATGCAGAAGTAATAACAAATTCAAACTTTAAATGACCACACTGAAAAGTTAGCATATTGGCATTACGACCTTATGCAACGGAGGGGTCTCTATACAGATAACAAAAGCTTATAATAAATATATTATATTATATTATTACAAACAAGGAATAAGAATTAAGAAGAAAAACATGGACATAAATTACAATAATTTATTACAATAATTTAACAAAACCAAAACTAAGTCTAAGCACCTTGTACACCTTCACATTTATTGAGACTGTTTAGAGCGAAATTTCCCGGTCCAAATGCGTAGTTGGGTCCAGCAAAACCAGGACCTAATCCAAAACCAGGAGATAAGCCGTTACCGTATCCTATGTCTGCTGCTTTGGGGAGAATGTTCTCGCTCACAATTCCAACGTTACCATTACCGCAACCATATGAAACAGCTCCCGATCCAGAACTTGTAATAGCACCTTCCAACCCGAGAGTACCTAAGAATGGGAGCTGACCATTAACAGCTAGAGGACCTGTATACTCATTGTCTGATACAACAGAGACACCGATAGGCGGTATAGGGGAAGAACTTTTTACAATGAAACCGCCGCCATTGGATGAAGGAACTGTAGCTGGTCCTAAAGGCGTCCATTCAGAAGCAATCAAAGGTGCCGGTGCGTAAGGAGCACCAAATTGGCCTGCGTAGCCATATCCTGGACCTCCCCAACCCATACCCTCACCAGCTACTAGGCCCGGCGTTATTAAATTGCTGTTAAGTCCATTGCCAGGACACTGACCTGCAATGACCTGAAAATGATAATTTTATTTATGATAACATGAAAAATATGACTAAAGAGTTAAAATAAACAAAACTTGAGAGTGGACAATCAAATTTAGGTTTAAATTTCTGGAGATTATTTTTCTCTTCTCTTTTCTTAAATGCTACCCGACATTAGGACTTTCTTCTGTATCGTGGAGACAGTTTACATGCATTAATTGCATGAAAATACACTTCTAAACCCGAAACAAGCAATTGTAGACCGCACAAATACTTGTTCTATGTGGGATTCCAAGCCGCGGCTCTGCAGCGAAGCGACCAAATGCCACTGTGTAGTGGCGTCTTAAAATTTTAAGTCACTAATAATTTCTTCATTATCATCTTTTCGTATTACACTGTTGGCTTGACCACCTGTTGGCAAGCGGTGAAGCAGCGCTAGATGATGAATCGTATTGTTTAGCGTTACAAAAGCCTATACTATAAACTCTCGTCTTGAAAGAACACACGTTGTAATCGGAGGGAAATATGGACGCTGACAAATTATTTACCGCTTTTCCATCTTCAAGAATGAATAAAATTTTTGCCTACTTCCAACTATAAGCAGTTAGTAAGGTAAACCCAAACTCAATACCTTAGTAGTTTTAACGTAAAATTAATAAGAATAATGGAAGGATGTTATCCGTTAAAAAAACGTCCAAAATCACAATATTATATCAATAATCACAATATGTCATAAATTATAATTGAACCTCACCTGAATTAGGGCCATTTGAGCGCACAAAATAAGAACGGCACGAGACATCTTTGTTTTTTTCTACTTTAAATCAAGTCACAATGATATTCCAAACAAATTAAAACCACAATTTATAGTTAAATATTTCATTATCCATTAAAACAATTTTCGAAACTAAAATTACGAAAATAACAATAACATATAAGTACATGTCTGATTAGAACTTGTTAAGAAATGACAGGAAAGATAATTATCAAAAGATTATTTTTTTAAGTTCGCTTAGACTTATAAAATGTAATAGGTAAATATATTAAATAAAACTAGTTTTACGGATTTTATCGCGTACATATATTAACTTATTTTTAAATTCCCTACGTTTTGAGCACTTTATAGCATCCTTGGTCACGGGTGCCATATATAGTATATATATATATATATATATATACTTATGTGTGTGTGTATGGTACATTATATAGCACAGGGGGAGTGAGGTGTTCAACGTCCCTCATAGTTAACCACGGCTGCCTTCAGATGAAAATTATTAATTTATGTTCCGATCTATTGCGTACAGTATGAACTTATAGTATCTTGAAGTCTTGCAGGTTCTAATATTGTTATATATAATAGGTTGTTGTAATATCACTATTTTTCCACCACAAAGGGTGATATTATTATTTCAAATTTAAATGGACCATTTTTGACATATACTATTTATTATAAGAAAAAAAATGAAATCAACCATTACCAAGAAATCGGTGAACATACATATAAAAAACCGGCAAAGTGCGAGTCGGACTCGCGCACCGAGGGTTCCGAACAAATCTGTAGATATATAAGTTTCAAATTATTAAAAATATTTTTATTATATGATATAACTAAAGATTTATGCTTTTCGCAATTTTTACTTTATCTGTGCCATAAAACGTTGCTTCGTACCAAATTTCAATATTCTGAGTTCACGGGAAGTACCCTGTAGGTTTTGATTCCCTTGTGAATGTCAAAAATTTACGACATAAACGGCTGTATCTTTTGATTGCGTTGGCTTAGAAGACTTGATTTTTTCACAGCTCTAAGAGACAGTAGACTTGAGTATTTGATATGAATTTCAGCTTGATACCTCCACGCGATCCTGAGAAAAAGGGTCTTGACAGACAGACAGACAGACGGACAACAAAGTGATCCTATAAGGGTTCCGTTTTTTCCTTTTGAGGTACGGAACGCTAAAAAATACCAAATTTAGACACACCTCCTCTTTTGAAATCGGCCAATTATCTTATTTTATATTTCGATATATTCACGCCTACGTACACTTGCAATGTCTTTCTTCTAACCTTAAAATTCTCTTCCTAAACAACCATTCATCCTGAGAAAATTACGTTCGGCCGCCAGGTAGAATCTAAGAAAACACAAATTAATTCAACTTAATTTATTACTAATAATCACTTATTACAATATGTGTGTCAGCGGTCAATACCGGTTTCTTTAGAGTCGGTGTGTGCTGATAATATTATATCACCACCAAAACTCTACGACAGTACCATAACGGAGGAGATTATAATAAAAAATAATTCAAATATTATCAAAAGTACCTAATATAATTGTGTAAAGCGATGACATGGGAAAAATTTAGACATAATTTTAAATAACGCTTTAAATTAAAGGGACAAAAAATTATAAATTGCTGCATGCCTGGAGCATCTTTTAGTGAACTCCTAAATAAAATTATAGTTACTAAATTTTTGCCCAAATAGTACAATAATAATTTTTGTTGGTAGAACAGGTGTAAACAACAAACAGTTATTAAGATATACTGAACAACTTAATAACATAAATGTACACAAAATTGTTTTGTTCACATGTAATAATAATTTAAATTTGGCATATAATTGTAATGATAATAATGACTAATTTAATTTAATTGGCATAAATAATGTAATTAAGAAGTTTTGGACAAAAGATAGGTATTACCTATCCTCTCGCCCTATCCTCCGCAACTCTGACGGGGCCGCACCGTATGATGCGGTGGTGGTGGGGCCGCGGGGGGAGAGGAGTGTCGATATTGCGAGGCGTTGCTCTCCCTACCCTCCGCGGCCGAAACTTGGTTGGCGGCGGAGCCAGAGACCAGATCACAGAACACGACCAGATCCGCCGCAGGGGTCGGGAAAGCGGGTGCTACTAAACGCTCGATTTGTCTGGCCCCATGACCGCGGAAGTGTGCGAAAGCGTTCCCGTGCCCTTGCCAACCCTTGAGACGGGTATGCATGGTATTCCTATCCAAATATAATTCAACACTGGTAGCAAATGTGCTATCTTATTATTTACATTTTAACTTAGCCAAGTTTTTGGCTAACAAGACTGTTTCTATTAAGCAGTGTAATCATTTGACATTTAATTTGGAATCAGTCCCATAATATAAGAGTTTAATTTATTTAGAATGCAGCCCAAAAATAAGTAATAAGAATTGTTTACACCTGGTGCATAAAAATTTACAAGGCATGATGGGCAAAGAATTCGAAGTTGAATTGTCTTTAAATAGTAACAACATACATATCCTTTGTATTACTGAACATTGGCTAAAAGATTATAATTTATCACCAGGTGGCCAATTCCTTCAATAGAGAAAAAAATTTACATGGTGGCTACTTAATATTAGCCAATAAATCATTACTATATAAAGAACGTAAGGATATTGTGAGCCTCTCTGTTGAGCGAACTGTAGAAACGGCTTGTGTCTAGCTCGAGCACCTCATTGTAGTAAGTGTTTACAGACCTCCATGTGCTACTTACAAATATTTTGAAAGGATTTTGGAAGAAGTTTTGGCCAAACTTAGTAAACAGAACAAGTCTGTTGTAATATGTGGAGACTTTAACATAAATCTTTTTAAACGTGGTAGAGCCATGCTGCAGCTATATTTCTGGTATAGTTGTGGCACAAATGGGTCGGCTCAACCGGGGAAGGACTACGCTCTCACAGAATACCAGCGTAAAATAGCAGCTTGATGCAGCTGTGTTTCGTATGGTGAGTGTAGAGAACCAGACAGTACCGTCTTCACCATAAGGGCACACGGGGCCCGTGTCCAAGGCCCCTATCTTCACGGGGGCCCCCGAAAGGTCGATATATATTCGAGTAAATGAGGACGTTGTTAGTGACTTTCTGGAACCTCTGAGCAGTAACAAGCCAGACATTGCCGAGTTTGACAGAAAAAGTGGCATTGAAAGATTTCTTAGGAAGAAAATATGTAGATCAGCGATTCGCCGCGTTTTTTTCGAGCTGTACAATCGCCTTACTCATAGCCTGGTTTTTTTTTTAATTTTCGGCAATGTTAAATAAATGTTGTTGGTTAAATTGATATTAGGAAAAGACATGAATGCATATAGGTAGTAGCGTAGCGAATTTTAATCGGACACCAGAACAGTTTTTTTTATCTTTTACTAAACAGTGAACATTTTAATAATTATAAAAAATATCTAAAAAGTACCTACATTTCAAATTCGAGTTTGCAGAGTCTATATAATGCACTACATAGAAGTCGACATTGTGTTTGGTAGGGCAATTTCCCAAAAGGTCAAACTTGTACGGTGAAGTTTGTGGTGTGATTTTGTTTTGTTTCATAGAAAATATTTAAGATAATAGAAGTTTTAACGTTTTCGTTTATTTATTAATTTTATTAAATCGAACAGAACATATTTACGTGGTTCTCAAAAAAGTAAAAAGGTTATAGCTCAAAAAGAAATAACCAAAAAAACTTCCTAAGCTCACATAATTTTTTACGGTTGAAGAAACATTCATAATTCTTCACCGTCATCACCTCAAGATCGAAATACTTCTGAATATCAACTAGAAAAATATCATACGTGTGACAAAAAAGACCAACACACATCAGATGCTGAACCCTCTACTTCAAGCTACCGTGAGTTAATAACTACATGCTTGAAAATTTTATCTTCTGATCCTTTTTTTTCATCACAATACATACCGTATTGTGATGAAATTTTAACAGAAAAATTACGCAATATTTGGATTCCAAAAGGGCTATTATATTTCCAAAATAAAAATGGTGACTTCTCCGAAACTTCTGCAAGTTTTCCCGATTCAAGCGGTAAAAAATAACTAGATATTTAACTAAAAATATTTTACCCGTAAATTGATAAATGGTCAGTCTTTAGAGAGAAAATGGCTCCTTTATTCACCGTCGAAGAAATCTGTGACTGCTATTGCTGCCGTCTATTTAATGCTACTACTGGTACTGGGCATAATTTGAGTTCTCCAAATGAATATAAGGATTGAAAGCATATAAGTAACTTATTAATTGAGCATGAGAACAGTTTACAGCACGGGCAATTAATGATGAATTATGTCGAAGAAGCAACAATACTGGAGGAGTTAACAGTTAGTTGTTGTCTCAATATAATACAGAAGTCAATTATTGGAAGAATGTACTTAGAAGAATTGTTGCAGCAGTGAAATTTTTAGCTTCTAGAGATCTTGCTTTTCGTGGTGATAATGAGATATTGGGGTTTCAAAATAACGAGAATAATTTAGGATGCGTAGATTTGATAAGGGAATTTGATCCTTTTATTGCTGAACATGTACGAAACTGCAGAAATCGTGGAAAAGGAAGAACCTACATCATATTTGTCTGCAAATATTTGCAATGAGTTTATGAATTTAATGGGACAGCAAGTTTTTAAAACAATTGTCAACTAACCTTCATCGTTGGATACGTAAAAGATGGAGAGCCTATTGAGAGATTTTTGCAGTTTTCGCCTATGGATAAACATTGTGCAGAATGTATAGCAGATATCATTTTATACTTTTTTGAAAGCCATGATAATTTTTCCCGAAGCTTTGTTCTTAATTGCGAGTGTCATCAATCTACCAAGACAAACAAGAAACAAAGCCCAAAGCCTATCAAAAAAAATGGAGATATTGAATACTATACTTTTAACGGAGATATGGAATGATTTTTTGGGAATTGTGAAAAAATCCAAATACTGACTATAAAGATAAGTCTGAAAGAAACATTTCATGTAGATGCGTTTATTCCTTGTAATGGATACATTAAATT